GGTACAGCCCAGTTATATGTTTTACATATAAATGCAAAGCAGGCCACATCGTCTCTTTCCCTCAACAGTGAGTTCACCCCTTTTATAGAGGGAATGCAACATTTACTGATCGTAGCGAGTCCTGCAGGCAGTTGTGAAGAAATGGATGCATGTCCAGCTGAGACCCAGACACACACACAAAGTTTCAGACAATTTCCTAGGGTGCCCCACGGAATTAGGAAGGGCAGGGCAACTGGGTAAGGAGTGTGAATAAAACAGTAAGAAGATGCTGCAGCTCAGATTCAGAAATAGCAGGGATGTTCTAAGAGAGGTCCGGAAATCTCCTGGACGAAACTCATTAAGACAAGATTAGCTCCTGTTGACCTTGGTACAGGACACGCAGGGAGGGTGGAAGGGTTGGAGGGGGAGTTAAAAAGGATCGTAATTTAGGGTGACCAGCTGAGCTGTCAATGAAGGCTCCATTTGCTCAGTAGGGGGTAGTTTGAATTCCAGATTTCTGGTTTCCTATAAAACCGGATATCCCATATGTTCACCTAACATATGTTTGATGAATGTAAACAAGATGACATGCCCTTCAAGATGAGGCTTTTGTCATGAAATCCCCTTGGTATACTGGATAACATGATTCAAACCTCAGGAGTCCTGGGTTCCATAACATGATTCAAACCTCAGGAGTCCTGTGTTCCTCATCATCCTAGAACTGCAGAGCTGGAAGGGATCCTGTGGTCATTGAGTCCAGACCCTGGAGGCACAGAGGGGTACTGAACTCCCAACCTCTGCTTAAACCACTGAGCTATCCAGCAGTTCTAATCCCTGCTCAGCCATGGAAGCTCACTGGGAGAGTGGAAGGGATAAAATCACTCTTTAAATACCTCACTTACCTTGAAAGGCCTATTTGGGTTGCTAGAAGTCAATTCCAACTTGATGGCACATAAAAAAATGGCCATAATCTCGTGATAGTGGAGAGGGAGTTGCTTCCCAAGTCAATTCCAACTTGATGGCACATAACAAAACAGCCATAATCTGGTGATAGTGGAGAAGGAGTTGCTTCCCGGGATGTCCTATTCAATTTGTAACCTTCCCATGTTCTTCCTCTGCTCTTTCTGTCTTTTTAATTTCTGACAATAAACCCGTCAAGGAAAAAGTAATGGAATAGTTATAATAAGAGGTCCTTTTCTTAAACTACAATTCTTAGATTCCTCCTCCAACCAGCATGGCCACTCACCGGGGAATTCTGGAAGCTGGGGTCCATAAACATAACTTTGCAGTAAAAGCTTTTTCTCTAGAAGCAACCCCTACATCTGAAGGTATCATTCTTCTAGGGACAGAGGGCTTTTTTAACCAGCAGTGTTGGTTTTTTAAATGTCTGGTAGGAGAATAAGAAGGGACGTAGTGGCGCTGTGGGCTAAACCGCAGAAGCCTGTGCTGCAGGGTCAGAAGACCAGCAGTCGTAAGATCGAATCCACGCGACGGAGTGAGCTCCCGTCGCATGTCCCAGCTCCCGCCAACCTAGCATGTAAATGCAAGTAGATCAATAGGGACCACCTCGGTGGGGAGGGAACAGTGTTCCGTGTCTAAGTCACACTGGCCATGTGACCACGGAAGATTGTCTTCGGACAAAACACTGGCTCTATGGCTTGGAAACGGGGATGAGCACCGCTCCCTAGAGTCGAACACAACTGGACAACAATTGTCAAGGGGAACCTTTACCTTTACTTTACCTAGGAGAATAAGAAGAATGGCAGTGCCTCAAAGCAATCCAGTAGTTAGAAGTGGAATCAAAAGAAGCATTGTATCTTGTCCACCAACACAGAAACACACATCACTGTGAAACATCATTGATTTCATTTTCTTTTCACACAGGCAAGGGAAATCCAAAGCCTGGGTATAAATAGCAGGCTTGTATAGACTGAAACCACAACATCTAACAATAAATCTTGGAAAAAAAAGAAACCTGTGGCACTGCTGCAGGTATGAAGCCGACTTTGCTATCAACTGCTGCATTTGTTGTTATTTGCTGTTACTAAATCAGGAAAACATGGGAGGAGGCTCACACAAAAAAACATTCATTTTGCATGAATGAGGTATCAAGATTGCCCGGAAAGGATGATATGGGGGTTTGCTTTTACTAGCTCAAATGCATGCACCTAAATGTAGATCCAGTATCAGCAGCAGCATCCCATCACTTTATATTCAAGATTCAGTATCCTCAGAATATCAAGTTGCATTTTTAAAATGCAAGGATTTAAAACAAGCAAGCAAATGTCATACGCATGACCAACAAGAACAAAAAACCCAGAAGCTGGGGTCATCTAGACAGGGTGAAGAACCAGAATGGTCTCAAGAGTTGGATTGCCTTCCAAGACCAATCCAGAAAAGCAGAAGGCAGCAGAGTTCCAGACCTTCCCTTGCATAGCCCGACCACCAAAAACCATGCCCTTGAAGCTTTGTTTCCAATCCCAACCCATTTTGCCTTTTGCTGTGCAGAGAGTGGAATGGAGCCCCCATGCCTATCCGTATGGAGAAAGGCACTTTGCCATTATGTACTAGAGGTAGTTATTTCAGGCACAGGCTGGGTGATAAGTCAGGCCAGACTTTGGAAAAGATAACCAGGGCATGTCTAAGAGCTCATCCACCCTGTGGTGTTGACCTTCATCATTTTGTTGTTGTTGCACATTTGCATAAATCATCATAGTACGGCCGTCCACACCAGGTGAGGGTACTGTTGCGGTCTGTACTAAGATGCACTGGCTCCTCCAGGCACTGCCCATTCACACACATTCAGACTGCTCCCTGAGGTCTTGCTCTCAACACAAACTGCCACCCTCTTCCTGCCTTTCATCATTCTTTATTTCCTTCTCTCCTTTACTTGCCCACCATTCTCATCTCTCCACGTCTACACGGCCATACCTTCTAGCTCTAATGTTTGTTTTTAGTATTCGTTTCTGTACTACAGTGGAAAAGTAATAATTTTTTAAATTAAAAAAGCAGAATTCGGAGATATTTTCTCTGCCCTCTTTCTACCTACTTCACTCTTGCTCTCTCTCTTCCCCTCATTATTTTACCATTCTCAAACCTTCCCAGTTTTGCTTAATCCCCCTCCCGCTTTTTAAATTTTACTTCTGTGCTCTAGTGTAAAAGTGATAATTTTTTTAAAAAGCATAATGAAGAAGTAGTTGATAACCCAGGAAAACAGGAGCAGAGTCTATTGGAACAAAAACATGCGATCACCCAGGGGGGCTGTTTTGACTTGGATGGTGCTGGTTTCAGCTTTGTGACCTTTGGACGCTGGAATGTAGTACTGGCTATCTTGAGTGCAAAGAAATTTGAACAAGTGATCAGTGTGGACAGACTCTGTGTTAGGTTTAAGAAATAAGGGGATAATTAGTTAAACAGAGATGTTTCACATCACCAATAAGAGTTTCTATTTACTGTCAAATCTAACTGTTAAGGGATATTTTAAAGCACTTTTACAGCCATTTTATTATTTCCCAAGTTTTATGAGATTGATTTACCATTATGAAATGGGAAGGAAATGATTTGTTTTGTATTCTCAAGGTGCCATATCAGAACTGGCCACTAGAGGTCGCTTTGGGTCCTTTTAAGTAAGCAGGATAAAAATATTTAAAATATTTTCTCACAAGTCTTCTATTATGGCCCAGAGTAATCTCACCAATCGATGGGGCTCCCCAACCCACCCACCTCTGATTATGAACCTGCCCTGTTTTTGCTTCCTAATATTATTGTATTTAATATTTTAAATAGTTTATGGTCTTTATTTTTTAATTAGTTCATTTTACCTTTTGTTATTATGTTTCAACTTATTGATTATGTGGGTACTATTGGGGTTCTTTGTATTGTGTTATTCTGATTTATTTGCCGCCCAGAGTAGTGGGTCTCCCACTAGCTGAGCAGTGCCACCCAGAAGACAGACAGATTGACTGACTGACTGACTGACTGACTGAGGAAACCAGAGAGAATTTACCTGTATTTTTCTGGCATGTTGGTATTGGTATCTCAACATATTAATAACACACTATATATTGAAGACAGACAGACAGACTGACTGACAGACTGAGGAAACCAGAGAGAATTTCCCTGTATTTTTCTGGCATGTTGGTATGGGTATCTCAACATATTAATAACACACAATATAATAAATTGTGGATTTGAGGCTTCATTCATTCATTCATTCATTCATTCATTCATTCATTCATTCATTCATTCATTCATTTTGCTTACAGAGCTATGATAATAGTAATGGCCACTGCAACATAATCGATAATGCAGTAAGAACTTATTTTTAAGCAATAACATTACTGTACAAGCTCTGGACTCCATCATCCTCACCCCAGTTGGCTTCAGCTCACCTATGAAAATTCATGGAGACAAGAAGGGTCATTTCTGTTTGCCACAGTTCCTAGAATACCCCAGCTATCACAGTCTCTGGCCATGCAGGCTGACCTATTTTGGCAACTTTCCCCTTGTCTGAGAACTTGCTGGATGGCCTCCTAAGCAATTCACCACTACATAGCCCAAACCAGTTTTCTAATGTGATAGGCTTAATCTAGCCTTCTTCTGTTTTCAGAGTGTTGGGCTAAAGATCCCATCACTCCCATGCAGTACGGAGCTGTAGACCAGTGGTTCTTAACCTTGGGTTGCTCAGGTGTTTTTGAACTGCAACTCCCAGAAACCCCAGCCAGCACAGCTGATGGTGAAGGCTTCTGGGAATTGAAGTCCAAAAATACCTGAGTAACCCAAGGTTAAGAACCACTGCTGTAGACCAACAAAACTAGAAAGCACCAAGTTGGGGAAGTCTAAATCAAGTCTGCCTTCTCCTCTTCAATTTAGACTGTGGGGTGACAATAACAGCCTGCTTCACCTGCGACCATTATCCAAAATAATCAACCTCACATTTTAAAAGTATTACATAAAACCTACTATTATTCGCCTACTTTATAGTCCTAGTGTTCTTTAGCCCTCCCCTCCATATTACTTACAGAAATACTCCAGGGTTTCCTTGGTCTGCTGTGGTGTAAGGTGGCTGGCAGCATCAGAGGGGACAAGTGGCGTGTGAATCCAGTCATCGTGATCGTACCCAAACACTCGATCTGCTCGGAGCTGGTAGAGGGGCAGCTGCTCCTCAAGAAGGCTGATGATTTCCACCTCAGGGACATTGGCGCTGTTACAGAGATCTGCAGTGAATGCAGAGGGAGAAAAGCAAAGAAACACAGAAAACCATTAGAGAGGATGAAGGGGTGGTGGAGGTATGAGTTTTGACTTAACTAGAGATGGGAGAAACCTTCAGTAAATTCCTTTTTCCTGTCAACTCTGTTTGACTCAACCCAACAAGCCCATCAAGGAATTGTCAAGCATTGCAAGATTTCTCGTCCACAGAGTGAGCGCAAGGGAAGAAGCATTATTTTTCTCCGCCATCAACGCTTCCAAAAGAAGTGTTTTTCCACACTGAAGAATGGACAAATAAGGAATAAGTCCCTAGACATCCACCACACAAAACAAAAATCCTCACCAATGTGAGTAACAAACCTATCAGTTCTGAAGGAAATCAACCCTGAGTGCTCACTAGAAGGACAGATCTGAAGCCGAGGCTCCAATACTTTGGCCATCTCATGAGAAGAGAAGACTCCTTGGAAAAGCCCCTGATGTTGGGAAAGTGTAAAGGCAAGAGGAGAAGGGGACGACAGCGGATGAGACGGTTGGACAGTGTCTGCGAAGTAACCAACATGAATTTCACCAAATTCTGGCAGTGGAAGACAGGAGGGCCTGGTGTGCTCTGGTCCATGGGGTCACAAAGAGTCAGACATGACTTAACTACTAAACAACAACAACAACATGCACATGTACACACAGAAGATTCTGAATGCCCCTCCTGGTGACACACTGTCTTGTTCTGGAGGCACAGGTCTAGTGCACAGGTTGCAGGATGTAAGCCAAACTGCAAAGAAGGTTTAACTCAGGATTGCCTCTGCATGTCATGTCTTTCTTCTAATGAAAGAGCCGTGCTGCCATCTTGTGGGTTGAGGGAAGCAAATGCATGAAGAAAAAAAACTCAGTTTTCAAGGGCAGGAGGCTGCACATTTATTCCTTTCAGATGTTTGAAGGTGGTTTGAATAAGGGAGTTGCAGCTCATGCATATCCTCTTGTGCAACTTCATTTCTGGGAAACGGGCTTTCCAGGGGTTTGAACTTTTTAAAATAAGCCTGTGCAACGGTTTGGCCTGGGGCAAGACAGAAATAAAAGAAACACCATGCTTCTCTCAAAGGACTTTCAACTGTTTTCAGGAAGCAATCACCTGTCTCTGCCCTCGCTTTATGAGGGAAAAAATAGCTACCAATGCCTTCTGTTTAGGGTCTTGCTAAGGCAGGCATGAGAAATACATGCACTTAGAAATGTCACTGGATTGCAGACCCCATGCACAGAGAGAAATGCTTATGAAATCTATTTAAGAAAGACCAGTATTCCCACTGTGGTGTAGTGGATAGAGTGATGGACTAGGACTCTGGAGAACAGGGTTCGAATCCCCATTTGGCCATGGAAACTCACTGGTAGAGTGGAACTGGTAAAACTACTCCTTAAATATCTCACTTGCCTAGAAAGCCCTGTTAGGGACACTATAAGTCAATTTCAACTTAACAACACAGAACAGACACAGGAGAGTGGGAGCTGGCTCCTCCTGCTCTTTGTAATCCTGCCCCCAATGCATCCCTGGTTTCAAAGTGGCTCTGTAGGGGAAACAGGGTACCTTATCCCCCATGTTAACAAAGTGTAATATATCCAACAAAAGACAACAGAGATGGTGAAGGGTATGGAAACCAAGTCCTATGAGGAAAGATTGAAGGAAATCCATATATTTAGCCTAGAGAAGAGCTGTCACACCGAAGGAGGACAATGGTTTGTCCTCTGCTGCTCTAGAGCACTGGTTCTTAACCTTGGATTACTCAGGAGTTTTGGACTGCAACTCCCAGAAGCCTTCACCACTACCTCTGCTGGCCAGGATTTCTGGGAATTGAAGTCCAAGAACATCTGGAGGCCCAAGGTTGGGGACCACTGCTCTAGAGGTCCAGAGTCAATCAAATAGCCCCAAGAGGAGAGATTTTGGTTGATCATCAGGAGACCATCCTTGAAAATAAACTGTTATTTAAGGAATTATGGGATCTCCTCTCCTCACCCGAGCATTAGCCAGGAGGGCAAACAGAAAGTTTTGATAGTTAGCTCCACCCAATCCCATGTATGTGGTTTTTTTTTTATCACCAAGACTTCACAACTTAGGTGTGATTAGAACCAAACTGGCTGGGTTTTTTGGGGGGGGGGAGTGACACACCACAATCTCCTCAAAGAGCTGCAGGCCTGTACTTGTAGCAAGAAATTCTTCAAAGAGATCTAGGTTAAAAAGATTAAAACGGCTCCGCCGGCTGGAAGCTTAAGATAGTTGAGTTTGAACGCCACTTCCACAGGCAGGACACACACAATACCCCTTTCCCTTTTTAATCCAACAAGGCTGAAGTCTGTATCTCAAAAACAGGATAGGTGGAATTTCAAAAGGTGAAGCTTTTTCCATTTGTAGTATTGCTACTGTATAACGCTTTGGTTACCTTCGCAGCTATATGTGTGTAGTCTCATTAAACTGAGGAGGAATTCTATCACACGTGGAAGTACTGATTCATGCTGGGCCCCCATGATGCTATAATTAAAGGTTTTTAAAGTAATCAAAGTAACTATTTTTTGGTCCTTTTGAGGAAAGTAACTATGTGTGAACTATAATGGTAGTTACTTTAAAGGACATTAGAACTAAGAGTAACAAATTATTTTTAAAACTACTTTCTTAAGCTCTGCCCTTAGAACTGCCTGGATATTAAAGACAGTCTCTGAAGGGAAGTCTTTGGAGGTGACAAGAAACACAGTTGTTTCTTCCCTTTTTTTTAGTATGCCCTCACCAAGAAGGGCTGTTTCGAACTGTTTTTGCCATCTTTGGTGGATACTCTTATTTTCTCAGTCCTTTCATATTAGACTGTCTTTGAACAACCATTTTAATCTCGCCCGCCTGTCATTCATGCTGTTCTGCCATTTTAAAGACTGTTACATGTACATTTGTTCTTGTTTTTAACCAGTCATTCCTTATTTGTCTGGGAACCTCTGGGGTTGAAGAGGGGACTAACAATAAGGATGATGTGCCGTCAAATCAATTCTAACTTATGGGAAGCATTCAAGAGTTTTCTACATAGAGAGTACTCTTTGTTCTTGTTTTTAACCAGTCATTCCTTATTTGTCTGGGAACCTCTGGGGTTGAAGAGGGGACTAACAATAAGGATGATGTGCCGTCAAGTCAATTCTAACTTATGGGAAGCATTTCAAGAGTTTTCTACATAGAGAGTACTCAGAGGTGGTTTAAACAGGCTGGTTCTTCTCCCAGGAGGCACAGTGGGGAATCAAACTCCCAGCCTCTGGCTCACTGAGCTATCCGGTCAGCTGAAGAGTGATTGGAATATTTAATATTTTTTTTAAAAATACACAAGGTAAAAGAATGAATCATTAAAACCTCTATGCTTCTAAAACTTCTAATCTGTGATAATAACTGAAGCTGCAGCCAAAGATGGTCAAGTGTTCTGCTTTACCCAGAATAATCCTGTTTTGGAAAGCCTGTCAGAGATCAGGTCGCTGTTTGAAGTACCATCTATTTAAAAGACTGACCACTCCAAGTATAGTTTTAAAAAAGGAAAAAAAAACGCAAGGAAAAGAATCCTTGAGACTGTCCATTAGCACAGGTTGCCATTTTCTGAATACAAATTTTGGTGTCTTGTCTATGCTACAGTTTCAGTGTAGGATTAAACTATTTTACCCAGCTATGGCTTCTTCAGAATAACCCTGCAAACCCTGAAAAGGCTGCTGAGAAGCATCTCTTGAAAGGAATAAGACCTCCAGAATCATCACTATTGGTTATTCTATTTAGGACTGAGGGGAGCTGAAGTCCAAGAATACTAGTTGGTATTCCACTGTTGATCATTAGTTCTAATCTTGAAGAGCATGGAAAATATATGTTTTAGCTTGAAAGTCCCATAATCCCTAGCGAACCAGAAAGGCCAGTGAGAATTGTGGAATTAGTGACCAGAATACAGTAGTAACTTTTCCAAGCTCTCAACTGATTGTGCCTCAGGCTTAATTCATGGGTTTTCAACTGATTGAATCAGCTTGCACAGCTGCAATTAGTGATGCAGACGGCAGCATCTATTTTTTTAAAAAAAATTCTACAATGTCCACTTTTTCACATGATTTTGTTTGTTTTTGCTATGGCTGAGAAGAAAGGCTGGATCATCTACAGTAGGAAACACCCTCCCCCCCATCTGTTATGTCAGCATCTCCTAATTCATTTCTCTGCTGCCCGAAAATACTAAATAAAATGCCTCAGAAATACTGTATTTTTCCATCTATAAAATGACACTTTTCCCTAAAATAATTAGAGGAAAAATTGAGGGTTGTTTTATACACGGTAGTAAGGAGGGGGGAGGGATCAAAGCGCTTTGATCCCTGCTTTTCCCCTCCACTTTCTTCAGAGGATAGTGCTTTCCCCCTCCACTTTCTTTGCAAAAAGTGGAGGGGGGAAGCAGGAATCAAATCACTTTGATCCCTGGGTGACCACTGGGGCGGGGGGGGGAGAGGGAGGCTCTTCCAGATTCTGTGCCCTTTTCATAGAACTCCCTCCTGCTCTCCCTGAGGACAGAAAAGAGTAATTTTTAAATTGGTTTGTCAGTAATGATGAGAGGCCCACAGTAGTCTTCTGCCCAGTGAAAAAGAGAGAGAGCGAGAGAAACGTGAGCATGGTGTCCAGGCAGCACTTACCAGTGAGGGTGGCTGCATCACGCTGCTTTCGGACCCCCTTGGGGGTTGAGGCAGATGGTGCTGGATCTTTATTGAGAGAATAAAGGGGATGACTATTTGTAGGAGGGCTTTGGCCTGTGTATGGCTGTTCCAATGCTGATGTGTCCAGTTTGGCTGGTATAACAGAGTGGATATAGGTGTCATACAGGGGTGATGGCACCAGAACTGGATAGAAGGTATGGGTGCTGAATTCTAATTCTGCTCCAAACCTGGAGAAAGAAAGAAAAAAATCAAAGAAACCCCCAAATGTTTTCAACAGTGAGAAAAAGTCTTGAAGAGTCTAGCATCCAGTTTACCCCTGAGCCTTCCTGCTTTAGCCCAAAAGGCTCCATTTCTGTCCCCAAATTAATACAAGATCTAAGAATCTGGATTAATAACCACTCTTCTAACTGGAATTTATTTTCTTTAGACTTGAAGCAGTATCTCTTAATGGCAGATAGATTGTTCTTATTTATGTGGTTAATCAGGGATGGCAGGGATAAACTCTGCACATACCCAGAGACAATAGTTCTTTTTACCCCTTCAAAACACTGAAAAAGTAGCTGGGGAGCCTGACTCAGACTAATGCTAAGGAGAACAATTAGAGAGGAGAACAGCTTGTAGAATTAGGGATAGATGGGTAGATAAATTTTATAATGATCAATGACCAATATACGAAATACAAATGAACCATAAATAAGTCACATTTCAAATCTGAAGTTTGAAATGGTTTCAGAAAGAGTCAGGAAGCTAGCCAGTCTGCCAGGAATGGGATGGCAGGATGCGCTATTGTTTCTCGTCACTCAGGTACCCTCATAGTTCTCTTTCTATTGCAGGGAGGGGACAAAGGACAAAATAAATTGTGTAATTTTCCCCCTCCAGGCTAGGAGGAATACCACAAGAATGGCAGGCCTGGGAAACAAACATCACAGAGCTGGTGATTTATTAAACAGGGTTTGTGCAGGGTTTATAATATCAACAACAGATGGGACATCTCGGGGAAGGCATAGGTGGATGGGGATGGATAAAACATCACGTACCAGATCGTTTCTGCCAAGTGACACGTCGGGAGTAAGATGGACTTTGTTCCCTAGGAGGTCACAAGGCTCCTCCTGAAGGTTTGGCATCACAATCTGAATCAAGAGAGAGGAACAGCAAAAGACTGAGTGAGAGACATCCTTCCGGCCCCGTCCTCAGTCCCGTTTATCCCTTTGGCCGTACAGTTTATTTTTGCTGTGATATGGGATCTGAGCAGTCAATTTGGGGTCAAACAACGTGAGATCTTAAATTCATCATTAACGTTACATTTATCTTTCTAAAAACAACGAGTTGCAAGCAGCAGTTCCTGGTTGAGTTGATCAGGATGAGAGAGGTGGGGAGAAAGAAGTGAGTCCTTTCACATCTGCCCCAGTATGCCAGCTGCTCTTTGTACTGGGAAAGAAGCCCTTGCTGGTACCACGGAGAACTGTTTACCCAGTTTAGTATAAGGATGGTTAATAACCAGAAGGGATGATACTCCAAACGAAATCAAAACTAAAAGAAAAGAAAGAAAACGAATCCCCTTTTCTCTCTTTCTTACTCATCCAACGGAGGTTGTAAACTACAGCCGAGTGAGTTAACTTCAGTTACTTCTTGAAAAAAATCTTTGTTGTGCCTTAGGTAGCGTCACATTTCCTGGCTGTCTTTCTTTCCCAGAAACAATCTTCCCACCTCTAGCTCCCCTCAAAACAGCTGCCCCTGGTTAACAGCTGTTGCAATTTTGAGATTTTTCTTCCGTTTGCGCCCATTCAGTAGAATTACCATTCTGAAGTTATTGCACTTTGGACATATAAGGAAGAGAAAATACTCACCGGGAAAGACAATAATGTTAGAAAGAGTGGGAGGCAGCAAAAAATGAGGAAGACTTAACATGATCGACTCACTAAAGGAACAACTACTGTACTGTATTCACGAAGGCTTTCACGGCCGGGATCTAATAGTTGTTGTGGGTTTTTCGGGCTTCTTGGCCGTGTTCTGAAAGTGGTTCTTCCTAACGTTTCGCCAGTCTCTGTGGCCGGCATCTTCAGAGGACAGCAAACTGTTTGCTGTCCTCTGAAGATGCCGGCCACAGAGACTGGCGAAACGTTAGGAAGAACCACTTTCAAAACACGGCCAAGAAGCCCGAAAAAACCACAACAACCAACAACTACTGTACTGTTTAGTCTGCAAGTCCTCAGCAGGACTGTTAACAATAGCACCTTTTGGAGGTCGTTAATTCATAGGGTTACCAGAAGTCAGAAATGATGACACATGGCAACATAACCATTATAAAAATCTGGTCCTCTCTGTATGTTACCTAACAGTTAGATCTCTATCTTCCAAATGAATAAAAGAAATAGTATTGGCCTAAATTCAATTGCTAGTCCTTATTAGAACAGACCCATTTTAAAAAAATCAGATTTACATAAGTGTTACTTGCTATTCAGGAATTGATTCAGTGGTTCTACCGCACTTGGGGCAAATAACTAAATTTCAGTCATTACTTGTAAACAAATGTATGCAACAATTTTTTTTCTCTCTACAATACATTCATGGTGTAGCTAGAAAACCTAATTTAAAACTGAGAAATATGACAAGGTACTGTATTATATAACAGGTCCCTCCAGGTGATGTTGGGTTCTAGCTCCCTTGAACTGGAAAGGGATAATGGGTACTATGATCCAACAAAATTTGGAGGAACACTGGTTCCCTCTTGGTTTTTTAAAGGTTAGATAAGGGCGGAATATCAGAAACATCTAGAAAACGATTTACACCCTCTCCCATCTCAGCTAGTCTAGCACATCTTCTTCTACAGGAAAAGGCCAAGAAAGGGCCACATCCCTATGACAAAAATATGAGAAGCGGGCAGGCCATTGAACAAATCATAACATGTCACTTCAGTTGGACACTGGAACAACTCAAATGTATTTCTAACACAAAGGTTTATAGATTTATCAAATCATAACATGTCACTTCAGTTGGACATTGAAACAACCCAAATGTATTTCTATACCAAAGATTAGAAATTTCCTCCATGTATAGATTTCCTCCATTTTCAATGTTCAGCTTGAGTGTACCATTGTTTATGCAGTCAAAATGTACCCTACACATACATGGGAAAGAGGGAGACTTGAGAGAATCCCAAGGCTTGCAAAAAAAATTTTTAAAAAAATAACAACCCTATTTTCAGGCAAAAAGAATATCCATGTTGAGTCTGCTTCAGCAAAAGTTACAATGAGTCTTGAGGCAAAAGAGGGACTACCATGTTTTATTTGGTGCGTCAGGGTCTATGGGCCACTTTATCCGATTAATAGGCAGATGATATTTATACACATCATTAAGAGAATCAGGGGTGGAGGGCCATAGAAAGGCAAAAGGTACAAACACTGATCATCATTTTTACACTGATTGTTTAACAAAAAGTGCCAGGAAGATGACAAGGGCCTCTGAACATAGACAAGGAGATTCTTACAGCTATGGAGATGAGAAAGATTTTATACCACCCAAGTTAAAGAGACAGTATGTGTGTTTTTAAGGGATGTGTAAGATCCAGCCCTCTATATGTTGACGGGCTGCAACTACCTGCTCCTGCTATGAATGAATATTGTGAGGGGCAGGGTTTGCAATCAAGGGGGCCAAAAGAGATAGGAATGCAAAAATTCCCAACAATGAAAAACAATCAATGGACAATCAACAAAAGTTCTGTTGATGCACAGCTTTTGAGGGGAGGTGGGGGGCACTTCTCAAAGAACCCCAATGAAGAAGCATGCTGATGTAATGTGTGGAATGGGGCAAGATGGAAAAGTGGAGTGGCCTAAATATGGGATGGAGTGGCCAGAATCCTTTACAGCAACTCTCCCTGCTCCGCCATCTTGTTTTAGGCCCTGACAGTTGTTAATGGTTCTATTCCTTTTAATATAAATGACTGGCTACGGTAGAAAAGTAAGGTGTTAATTTGTTAAATAAATGAAGGGGAGGGGTTTCCTGTCCCAGACATCAAAATAATCTTGAAGAGACTTATAAAAGGAAGGTAATAGGTTCTCATTTCACCATAAGTTCTTTCTAAGTTCTGAAGGTGAAATGAACTCCTGGGATGAAAGAGGTTGCTGGGCTCCTTTTGAATTCAAGGGTTTCCAGGACAGTTAAGGGGACACTTCTGGGAAGACGTAAGGCCCTAGTCCAGAGGCCGACCAATGAGCCAACGCCTGAGATAGAGGGCCTGAAACATTTCTACTCTGAATCAGGCCAGCCTGACCTCACGTGCTTTCCTTTTATGTTTGAGAAAGTGCAATAAAAGAGCTTTTTACAAGCTAGCCAACTCCTTAACAGATCCTCTCTCCCAAACACAAGTGACTGGGTGAGATGGGTGTGTTCATCCTGTGCTACTTTTGCAGTCACTTCTGCATGCCCGTTCGTGATCTAAATCATCCTCCATCCTCCTTGCCCTCGGCCTTGTGACTGCCATTCGGAGCCACGTGGTGTAATAACTGGGACAAGCTTAAACCCTTTGCTGAAATTTCAGTTCATTTCCTTCTTCCTGGGAGCTGCAGAGGTTGCCTTCCCAGTATGCAAAGCAGTGGCTCTCAAGAGTGTGGATTTCGACCTCTGTTAGGTCTGCACTTCCTTTATTAGTTTTTAATCATCACTGGCCATTTGCTTTCAGCTAAAATGGGATTACAATTCATTTTTCACAATATTTGATAGAGGTTCAAGAGTTACATTTTGGACAATACTTCCCAGAATCTTGGAGAAAGTAGTCCAAACTATTTTCCACCTCAGCTCTGAAGTTTGGTTTATTGATCTTTTTCTGTGGGTCCATCCTCCTCAGAGGTTGGAAGGCACCAATTACAAATAATGAATTACAAATAATGAGTTACTTGTAATTGAGGCACAACAGGCATACCTTATACTTGTAACATATTTTTCTGAAAAAATTATTTGAAACTATAGTGGTAACTACTTTTGGAACAGCAAGCACCATAAAGTTGCTCCAGTAAGTAATTAGTTTTAACCAGCAACTTTCCAAGCACTGATCACACAGTGTTCCATCCATGCCACTGCTTACCAGAACAGCCATTTTTTTTAAAAAAATGACCATCATTTGAATTATAGCATGTATTTTTATACTATATTATGTATGTATTTTATGAATTTTATCTTTGTATAATCAGGTTTATGACCGCATAATAAAACTTTACTATGGCATGTATTTATAAGAACATGACTGTCTGGTATCTGACCTGCAAAAAAATACTTTACTGTTCCTTTGGGCTTGAAAGAATACATCAGAACTACACAAGAAAAACAGCAAGAGGGACATTGTTACACATCCATTGTTTAATTTACACTAGAATAAATAGGTGCAAGATTGCAACCTTAAGCACTATTGTCTAAATATTTTAATATTGCATACATATATGTATACGTATACATGTACATATGCTATTTAAAAGTTGAATTTAATTAACATAAAAATGTCATGCTAGATATTAGAGGAGATTAAATCTTAACTGCTGCTGAATTCCACAAAAAGACTAGGTAGACAGACAAGAAGCTGCTGAAACATGTACAGTACGTACAGTGTTGGTTACAGTGTAAGATACACAACCAGGGCTAGGTTGGAATGAGTTTGTCCGTAACAGCTTCTCTATATTGTATACATAGCGCAGTATCCCAAGTTTCCTTCTGTTCCTGCAATGGTCCCTTCCCTTACACAAGCAGCAAGATTGTTCCTGAGTCTGCACAGGAAGGTACTGTACCTGGGATTACCTTTTTTGCTGAAGCTCGGAAACTGTCCCAGGGCTTCCGCAACAGATAGTTGTGCAAGTAGAAGAAGCAACCAGGATTCTATTCACAAAGTCAGCAAAACTAATATACAGAAGATCATTGCATCTTTGTTCTCTTTGCATTTCCGATCTGCTCCATTTGTTTTCTGTGCATTTCCAACCTGCTCCATTTGTTTTCTGTGAATTTCCGATCTGCTCCCTTTGTTCTCTGTGCATTTCTGATCTGCTCCATTTGTTTTCTGTACATTTCCGTCCTGCTCCCTTTTATTTGCATTTCTGACCTGTTCACTTTGTTCTCTTTGCATTTCCGACCTGCTCCCTTTGTTCTCCGTGCATTTCCAATCCACTTCCTTTGTTCTCTGTGCATTTCTGATCTGCTCCGTTTGTTTTCTGTGCATTTCCGACCTGCTCCGTTTCTTTTCTGCGCATTTCCGACCTGCTCCGTTTGTTTTCTGTGCATTTCTGATGGGTCTTGCATGCTTGATTGCTTCCCCCCCTCCGGCCAGAAGGGATTAATCACATTTCCAATGAGTCTTGCAGTGATTTTTTTTTGTATGATTTTTTTCTTCGGCCAGAACAGATTAATTGCATTTCAATGCATTCCTGTGGGAAATGGTGCTTCAACTTAGAACCATTTTGAGTTATGTCCATCTTTTGGAATGGATTATGGTCGTAAATTGAGGCACCACTCTATTACTGTTTTTAATGTAATACTTGTTTAATTCCTTTTTAAGATTTGTGTACCTACTGTTTTTAGCTTTTAAATAGTCTTTTTAATGAAAAATGGCAATGGCCTCTCTTGACCTCTCTTTGAAGAACCTCAACCTATGGGCCTGCCTGGACCTTGAGATCTTTCTCTCTCCCCCCCACCCTGCATCCTGCGAGATACGTTTGGGGGAATTTGAGAGGTGGCTACTCCCAGCTTGTGGAAGTCCCCGCAAAGGGAGCTGGGCTGGTCCCTTACCTGTTGGCAGAGGTTTTACATTCAGTTGGGCTGCTGGCAAAACAAACCAATGATTGAGAAAGGGTCTTACGAAAGGGTCGGTTGCATGACAACACCTCATCACACACTGCAGGTGAAACAACGGCAAAACTGACTTCCTTAGGCTTTCAAGTGATGCCCCATCCACCCTATTCTTCTGACCTGGCTCCTTCTGACTATTATCAGTTCCCCAAACTCAAAAAACACCTAAAGGGACAATGGTTTGGGAGTGTTCTGGAGGCAACTAATGCTGCAAATGAGTGGTCACACTAGCAGTCGGAAGAATTTTATTTGCAGGGACTTAAGAAGTTGCAGGACAGATGTCACAAGTGCATTGACTTCCTGGTGGAATATGAAGAATAGTGTGGCAGTTATAGCTTCCTATCTCAATTTTTTCTGAGTAAGGCTCAATACTTATCAGCACCCCCTCGTATTACCAGCCAGGTGGTATATTTTCTTTGCTAGTCTTTTTTATTGCTGACTTTCAACACAACTGTGTTTTTAATATGTCAACTGCCTCTGTTTGACCTGCATTTTTCCCCAGCCCTACCATGAATAGCCTTGACACCTATTTGGAAAGAAATGCAGGATACCAAACCGACAAATAAATGAAAATAACAACAGCCAGCAACTGGGGCCGACTCAGGTTTAAACTAACAGTTGTGACACTGTCACATGTCATTTGAATCCGCACCATTGGCACAGTCCATGGGGAACCTCTCCTGTCACAATGAATAAGAAAAACAAGAATGGGGGGAGAAAAGGAGCTACAACTGAGAAAAACATTACACGCACCAAACACAATTTGAGAACCAGTACACTGGATGCTTGTGCTTCTCTCTCACGACAGGGACTGCTCAGTTCACTTACTTTGCTCCAATGGTCTAAACCCTGTGTTTTGTTTTGATTTGCCAGCACAAAAGAGGTAGTAGGAGAAAAAAATGGGTAGACGTAATGCTTGAAAAAGTTACTTTTTTCAACTCAACCATCTGAATTGGGCCCTATAGACAAATGGCTACTCCAAAAATGAAATCACAAGAGCCATCAAACCAAGAGAACAACACCAAACTGAAGAAGGAAAACAGCCACCCACAAATACTGCCATACATCAAAGGGGTCACGGACCACATGGGGAAACTTTTGAAAAAACTCAACCTACAAACAATATTTAAGCCCACCACAAAAATACAACAAATGTTACGGTCAGCAAAGGACAGAAGGGACTACCTCACCACTGCAGGAGTATACAGGATACTATTGCAGTTGTGGCCAGGTATATATTGGAACCACAAAATGAAACATCCACACTAGAATCAAAAAAGGGACACTGCAGACTAAAACAACCAGAAAAATCGGCAGTAGCTGAACATGCCCTAAAACAAGCTGGACATGAAATTCTATAAATACTGAAATACTGGACAACACCAGCAATCATTACGTTAGACTGCACAGGGAAGCCATTGAAATCCACAAACATCAGCAGAACTTCAACAAAAAAGAAGAAAGTTTGAAACTCAACAAAACTTGGCTCCCAGCACTGAAAAATACAGCGTGCAAAAGGTCAATGAACTCTAGCCAGCCACAAGGACCAGTGATCACTACACACAATAGACCAGCTAATGACATCCATCACAGTGACAGATAATCTCTCCTCCTTATCACAACAATACACCCACAACAAAAACACACTGATCACCATAATCACCCATCTCCTGAAAAGGACAAAAGCTGATCTCACAACCATAAATAAACTCCCAAACAAACTGCACCAAAGCACAAAGGGTTGTTCTCTGAAGATGCCGGCCACAGAGACTGGTGAAGCCTTTGTGAATACATTACTTTTTTCAATCACAAGATCACAAGCCAGGCTGCCTGGGAGAATCTTGGAATTTGTAATTCAAAAAATGCACTCTTCTAAGCTCTACGTCAGTGGTTCCTATGAGTGTTTCTCAACCCTAGGTCCCCAGATGTTCTTGGACTACAACTCCCAGAAGCCCTTGCTAGCACAGCTAGTGGTGAAGGCTTCTGGGAGTTTAAGTCCAAGAACGTCTGGGAACCAAGGTTGGGAACCACTGCTCTAGGTGAATGATGTGGAGTACACTA